CAAGGGTTTGATCTGAATGTTCTAACATCATCAGTTAATGTTCCACTTGCTCTTACTGATTCTGCATTGTTGGTAAATGTGGGCGAGAAAGAAGATATGGAAAATATATTGTCTATTGCTACTGAAGGGAGTCTGATTGGGGATTCTGTGTCTAGTTGTGTGAATGTTGGGGTTCAGGGGGAAGAACAAGGGAATAGGGACCTAGTGCCTCAAGGTGACATGGCAACAGTCAGTACTACAGGAAAGCTAAAAGAAGGACCTGGTCCCTCTTCCCAAGAGGAGTTCTGTGCTCCTACTTGGGATGAAACACCATGCTCTACTAAGACAGTACTTACCCTATCCCTACCTCTTCCCCTCACCTTGATGCAACCCCTTTAGACATTATGTATCCTGAAATGAAGTCTGTGTCAGAAGAAGAAGGAGATGAAAGTAAAGAGGATTATGACAATTTATCTATAGCCCAGTTTATCGCTGCTAGGAGTGATGGGACAACTACTTAAAAGTTTGTTTTTAAAAGACCCACCACTAGGCAGCAGAAAAAGGTTGCCCTTGACAATGCTTTAAAGGAGAATAAGGAGAAAAATAAGAGAAGAAGACTTGTGAAGAGTGGACTAGTTGATGAGGAGGATCTACCTCTAGCAAACGTTATGAAGGTTGATGATGAAGAGATGACTGAGGAACGTGCTTCCCTTGTCCGTAAATCTTCTAAGAAGACTTAACTGTCTAACAGAAGAATGTATCATCTACAAATGTTGGTGAAACTAATGGTGAAGAAAGTGTTGAGAAAGGTGATAGGAAAAAGATGTCTCTCAAGAGGAATCCAAGTGATAGTGAGGAACCTGGTTCCTCAAAGAAGGCCAGAGTTGACGTGTCTGAGATTGAAAGGAAAGCGAAGCTAAAGAAGCAAAAAGTCATGTGGAGCATAGTCTTTGATACTAATATTCTTGACAAGTTAGGTATGATGCAGTTGGTTGAAATCTGCGAATTCCAAAAGTGGACACATCTCTTTACTGTTCAGAGTCCAAAAGTTTATGAGGAGGAAGTTCGCAGTTTCTATGATGATTTGTTCATTGTAGAAGGTGACACCATCTGCTTAAAGGTCAATGGGGGTGGACTATGTGATTGATGAATCTATGCTCGAAGATATTCTTGAAGCGCCTGCTGAAGGGCTCTCCACAATTGAGGGGATCTGTTCCCCAAGTTTCAGGAAGCTTATTCTAAAACCTCAAGCTGTTCAGCAAGGGGAACGAGTGCACAAGAAGGCACTGCTTCCAGAATACCAACTCATGTTCGAGTTGGTGAACAAGGTCTTGCTACCATGAGCTGAAAGGGGATCCATTGTATCTATAGCGGACCTGGTTCTTTTGGAGGCATTGAACGGATACACTGCCATCAATTTGCTTGGGATTCTGATTGAGCACATGAAGAAGGTGACAGATTTTAAGGATGGAAACCATGGGTTTCCATATGGGTTCCTGCTCACAAATGTTTTTGAACGTTTTTAAGTCCCCTTGGGGAGAGAACCTGTGGGAACTCGTAAGCAAATATTCTCAATGAATACCTTGGAGGAATGCGAGTGCATTGATAAAAAGGGGAAGTTGGCAACTGCTCTACAATCTCTCAACTTATCGATGCTCAGAGTGCTGCTAATGAGGAGATCAGGAGGCTGAAGGCCCAAAATGCCATTCTTGAAAGTAAGCTCAATCAAGCCAGCACTGAACCTAGTTCTAATAGTGCTCAGGGTGTAGAAGTTTCCCGCTTGACGGCTGATAATGTAGACCTGAGGAAACGGGTAGAAAACCTGAAAGAGCAGCTAATCAATGAGTAGAGGGCTGCTAATGCTCGTTTGGATGGTCTTCTCAAGGCTCTTGATCCTTCATCCTTCCCTTCCCCTTCTGGTGCCCCCTAAATTGTCCCCTTGTCAGTGTCTCGTTTGTCATTCCCTGCCAAGTCTACAATGTCCTTTTTTGTTCTTTGTTCCTATAGTTGCTGTACTCTAGTAATGTTTATTTTGTGAACGTTTTGTAATGATGGTACTGCTACTTATTTTTCTTCTTCTTAAATTAATAAGTATCTTAGTCCTTTTTCTAATGCATGTTATACTCTTGTGTCCTGTTTTTAGCTATGTTGTGTGCACACAAGTGGCATGAGTTAACTTTGCTGGACTTCTTTTTGCGTTTACTTGTATAATTCTTTTTATGATGCCAAAAGAGGGAAGAAAATTGAAAGGGGAAAACAGGTTTTCAGGGGGAATATGGCTATATGGCTATTTTGCAGGGGGAGCAATATGGAGATCCGGTTCTCAGGAGGAATATCAATTCTAAGTTTGTCATTATCAAAAAAGAGAAATTGATAAGTTATGTGTCTTTGTGTTTTGATGATTTAACAAACTTCACATGAAAACCAGATAGGGAACATGATACAACTAGCCTCTCCGTGCTCAGAACAACAAGTCAAATGACTGGCACAAGTTCCAATGAAATTAGTTAAAGGAACAGCAGAGGGAACATATAGATATCAGTTCCTCCGGTCACAGTACAGTCAACTCTTACAGTTGTTAAAGTTGTTGCACTGCACATGCAATAGTGCAGCAACACTATTGAAGCATGTTGTGTACCGGACACTCTCATGTATCATCTTTGATGACCTCACTTATACATTACCAACATGAGGCAAGAGATTACAAATACTTACAAACCCTAAAACATATTTTACTCTCCAGTATGCAGCCGCCTTCATTCTCTCAAAGGCATTGAAGAACAAAACAACAACATAACAAAGGACCATATTCCAACATTTAATACATCGTGTGTCCTTAGTATTGTTGTGTCTTTGTTTATGTTATTCACTTGTAACTCCTACTCAGCTTATTTAGAAGCATCTCGTAGGACACCTTTTAAACTATAAACCTGTGATTGTGTTGACTAGAGTTAGTTAAGTGATTAGCTTTGTGATATAGTTATTACAAAGAGGCTTGCAATATAGTTATTGCAAGTAGGTGAGAGATTAAGAGTTTAATTCCTAGAATACAATAGGTTGTAATCTAAAGTTGCTCAGTTAGTGAAGTTGAAATCCTACTAGTGTAAGTCGTGATTTTTAATCCCGTAAGCTGGGAGTTTTCCACGTAAATATTGTTGTGTGTTCGGGGCATTTGCATCTATACCCGCTTTTTGTGTCACATTTTAACTTGTGCCAGCTTTGCAAAAAAAAATTGCACGCGTACACGCTTTTTCGCATAACTTCAGCATACGGGGCTGAAGTAGCAAAGGCAATCACGCAAAACTTCAGCATTCTAGTAGACGGGCCTGAAGTAGCAAGTGTGCTGAAGTTTTTGTTTTGTAACTGGCGAACTTCAGCTCTAGAGCTGAAGTTTTTGTTTTGTAACTGGCGAACTTCAGCTCTAGAGCTGATGTTTTTGTTTTTGTAACTGGCAAACTTCAGCTCTAGAGCTGAAGTTTTTGTTTTGTAACTAGCGAGTTTTTGTTTTGTAACTGTCGAACTTCAGCTCTAGAGCTGAAGTTATTTAGTTCATTTGTAAGAACTTCAGCACTATTTATGTTTGTTTGGGATCTTGGTCATCTGTATTTTGTTTGTAATTATGCAACAAGAAAAGAAAACGAGAGTATGCACAAGTCTAATAACTCATCATCATTCACTGATCAGTAAAGTCACCAATTTCAACAAAAATCTTGCAACTGAAACTAACGTGCCTCTGAACTAATTGGTTACATCAACAAGTAACGTAGTCTAAATTTACTATTACATAGCTTTGAAAGAAGAAAAAAGGGAATGATAATACAAGGGTCAAAATACAAATGACCAAGATCCCAAACAAACATATACACCAAGAATCTACTCATCTAATATAGTTACAGCTAGTTATTTAGTTCATTTGTAATTATTTATAATTTATTTTTAAATAATCTGATAAACATATTTATGGCAATCATCCCATAACTGAAGTTCCATAGCAACACCAACAACAGCAGAAGAAAGAAGAAGAAGAAGAAGAATGAGGAGGAGGAGGAGAAGAAGAAGAAGAAGAAGGAGAAAGAGAAAGAGGGCTGAAGTTATTTAAAAAATGGGTACAAGTTAAAAAAAAATTAAAAAATAGGTATATGTTAAATGAAAGCGACCAAAATAGGGCGCCCCGTGCAATTTTTATTGTGTGTTCTACGAGAACTGATAAAGAACCACAGTTGGTGGACTCTTAATTTATATCAGATCCCATAATCAAATAAGAGACACTCATAGTCGTTATATCCATCGTTTTTTGAAAGAATTATTCTCAAACTCCTATATCCAAAGGACCACAAACTCTAGCCCCACTTTCTTAACTTGATCTTCTGCCATCCGAAGAAAAAACCTTGATCTTTTCGAAACAACATTGGAACAAGGAAACAGTTACCAAGTGAATGCACCGGCCAATAAATGAATGGCAAATTAGCATTTGCCATTACCGCTACCAATCAAATACTGCTCAATTGACTGCAAATAAGGAAAAAGAGAGTGCAATAGGCAATTTTGAATAGTGGATTTGAATCAAAAACTTGGAGGGATAAGACAAACGAGAGAGTATCCATGTGTTTCATACAAACGATCAAAGCCAGCTGTAAAAAGGTTCTAATGCTAAATGTTCGTATAAACGATCAAAGCGAGCTCTAATTATGCTTAAATTACCACATCAAAGCGAGCTCTAATTATGCTTAAATTACCACTCCCCTTCTTGATAATTGATTACGTAGTTTTTGGCTTCTGTACTAATTCAAGAAATATGTCCAACGAGCTAAGAAAATGGCATTAAAATGACAAGATTCTCATTTTCTTAACAATCTACTATAGAAAATAAGAGTTTATTTGCCGTATGATAGCCGCTGTGCTACAGCTCCTTGTCTGATGAAAGCCTTACACCTTGGTCCGACAGAATCACGGCGGCGTTAGATGACCCCAATCCCGCAGGTATCGTTCATAGAAAAAAAGAAGTAAATTCAACTAATATCTTTATCCCATCAACTAAGACTCTTGTATAAGAAACATATTTGTAAGCACAACTATTCGCCCAACTTTGTTCTTTCTTGTTCTTTTCTGTAAGGCATAAAGTGACAGGAATTATGATACAATGCCTCATGAGGGAAAAAAGGAAAGGGGGAGGAGGGAGAGAAATAGACTACTAAATTCAAGAAGTATGCAAAATACAAACCTTAAAACACATCTAAATGGAATGGTCTGAGGATCTTTTGGTGATGCACATTACTTTCAAAATGAGGTATGTATGAAGATCAGAATACTGTCACGTAAACTAGATCTAGAGCTCTTCTTATGCTGAATCTGAAGTCTCAAACTAGCTTGACCAAGCAAATTGAATGATTTTCACACACAACTTTTCGTGTCTCGACCATCAAAGCTCTTACAGCTCAACAGATAACCTGAAACAAATAGGTTGAATTAGCAGTTAGCTGGCGGAGCCTGCACTGTATCTGCAGCAACCATCAAGTTCCGAGAATGCAATAATTTTGCTTTCTGCTCTTAGCTTAGGAACAAGATATAGTAATCAATTTGTTCGTAAGAATGTGAAAAATTAATTTTTTTATAACTGTAGTGTCCGGGCTAGCTTGCGTGCATCTCGACTAATTTCGGGATACCTCCTACCTCCCACCAGTGCAGGTACTAGGTAATACTATCCACTAAGGCTTGAACAGATGGGATCCAAATCCCAAGTGCTTCAAAAATGTATGTTGGTCAACTACTGATTTCGAGTATAGCAAAAGCAAGTGAGCAGGTAACCACTATGGCCCGGAAATCCAGTTACTCCCATTCCTCAAGGGTTATGTACTGCTAGAGAGTAATAAATCAATGCCAGAGAAGATCGACCAATCAGCCATGGCATTGGATAGTAAAGGACCAATTAAATCACCTTAGAATCTTTAAGTATTTTTCATTCGCTACCAGAAGCAAAACAAATTTATTACACATCCATCTACATACATACATGAGAATTCTTTTTAGCAACATGATGGTTGACTTAGTGATAAATTGCTCCATATTTACTCTGAAGTTGGTCCCTGTCACACTAGTACAAGGTTATGTTCTTGGACTCCCCACATATTCAAAATACCTGGCAACTTAGAGCTCATACAGCCAGCCTACTTTCGCAAAAGGAAGGAGTGTTTAAGTTTGTTCTCCTAATCTAAGATCTTTCAGCGTTGCTTTAACGATTTTAATTGTTCCTGTAGGGGGATGAATGAAGAAATTTGTAGGACTCACCTCTCGAACCGTTCTGACTCCAGAGGATAATACTTGTGCAACCCTCCTTTTGGATAGATAAGAGTTGTTTGCTTGGTAGGCAAGCAACTATTTCCTTCTTCATCGATGGAGGTCTGAAGGCCACTGTCATTGCAGAAAGATTCTAACTCCCATTCCTAAATAACCATGCATTGGAGCAGCCAAATTCAGAATGTGGAGAGCTGAACCTTTTTTTTTCTAATCAAAACCCTTAATACGAGATAGGATTTTACCTTCATCATTAGGAATTTGGAAAGAGCTGCCAGGGGAAAAGGCTGAAGCTTGTATCCTCCGTAATTCACACAGGAAATAGCTAGTGCTCGAACCTTAGTAACGCAAATGAAGCAGATTAAGGGGAATCGAACTTATCCATAAAATAAAACATAAACAAAATGAGGGGGGAGAAGCAGAAAAAGTTAAGAAGGGAATTCTATACGAAGTAGAGAAAATTGTGAAATCACTAAAAAATGGAGCATTTTGCTTCTCAATGCCAGCATTAGTCAGAGATGCTTTAAACTAGAAGTTAAAGGATGCCATTTCAGACAAGCCTCAGTTTCCTGTTTTCTTCTCAGTAAGAAGGAGACTTATATGGTGGGAGAAGGATCAAACCCCAATTTTCTTCCAACAGTAACGAGAAGTGGGAGAGGAGTGAAAACAATATTTATCAGACAAATGAGAGAGCATATACCACAGAAATAAAATTTGCTGATATATAAGAACTCACCTCATTGATAGAAGGTTCAATAATGCAATACTGCAGGTAGGATGCTTCGGACTCTGTTATATGGATAAATTTCTTGTAGAAGCCCAATTTAAAGTATCTGTCACAAAATATTTTACAGATAAGAATAAAAGGTGGAACTTCCCATATACAAAAATAAAAAGTATTCTACTAGCAACTGCAATTGATACTAAATGCCTTTGATCTACCTCAAGATCTTCCGAGCAAAATTCATTTCTGTTGACTTCATAATGTGAGAAGGAACACGGCAGAACCATAAAGATAGTGTCTCCCCCTGCAAATCAAGAAGAACAATGTTTAGTGAAATTGAACAAAGAAAATGGTGATAGTTAACTGCAATTCACAATCTTATGATAAATTCAGAAAGAGGAAGGAAAAAAAATGAAAACTTAACTGTTCCTTGGGTTTTAGAATCAAGGTGGAGAAGTACATAAAAGGAAAAAAATTCAGCTTCATTTTCAAAGATGGATTCTGAAGTTCGATTTGCTTCATAAAGATTAAATAAAGTCACCAATGCTTTCGTAAGCTGCTCCATGTTGAGGTATGACAGTGAAGAAATATTTAAACCGCCACATCTTCTAAGCTTATGCTGGGATATTATATGAAATTTAACCTGTGGAGAAAACGATATTAGAGCTACATATTTCTGAACATTCTGCATTAATATTAAAAGAAGGAATAATTGAATATTTTAAGCTTAGTATCTTTACAAAAAAAATAATTTGCTTGGTTTCCTAAATAAGATGTTCACTTCTTGGGGAATATGAGTCGAAGCAATAACAAGAATATTTCTAGTAGATGTTTCCTTGTCATTACAACAAGCCAAACCAAAGATTACCAAAGAAGGGGGTTATATATAGAATACAACGACAACAACATACCCAGTATTATCCCACATTGTGGGGTTTGGGGAGAGTAGTGTTTACGCAGGCCTTACCCCTACCTTGTGAGGATAAAAAAACTGTTTCCGATAGACCCTCAGCTCAGGAAAGCATAAGCACCACATTAATGAAAATATAGACAAGGGACAGTACCAAAGAGTTATATAAAAGCAGAAACAACAAGATAGTAAAATGATCAACAATGAAAGAAAACAACGATTAGTCATAAAAACCTACTACCAACAGAAAGCGAGAC